CCCTGAACCCTAAAAACCTGAACCCTGAACCCTGAAACCTGAACCCTGAACCCTGAACCCTAAAACCCGAACCCTGAACCCCAAACCCTGCTTCTTGGGCTATTGCATTAAAAAAAAAGGACCCTGATTCTCGCCAGGAGCTACCGAGGCTCCCCCAGAACGAATCGCGCCGTCGTCTCCCAGGCCGCTGGGAGCCGACAGGCATCCCTTTTAAAGGGGGCCACTGACCGAACCAAGGTCTTGGCTATATGATGTACTAACATATCCAATAAGAATAATACTAATAGTTATAATATTAATATTAATAGTACTAATGAAAATCGTAATCATAATCATAATCATAATAATAGTAATAATAATCGTAGCAATCATAATCATAATCACAAGAAGAATGGTAGTAGTGTTCTTGTAAAATATCTTTAGAGCGTACTAGAATGCACTATAATATACTTTAATTTTACTGTCGTGTACTATACTGTTTTATAAGGTACTAGTATGTAGGATTTTGGGTCCTGCCATGACAGTCCTGTGCCCTACCCACCGAATCCTGGACAATATTTTTCACTCACTCCAGCTGCAGCCGAATTTTTTTTAATAGAAAAGCCACAAAGCCAAGGATGACAACGAAGTCTGATCATATGCGGTTTTGTGTGAATGTCAGTGTCGGTAGTAATCTCCGATAGCCTGTTGGTCGCCAGATGTGTCAGTGTGCACAGAGGTTAACCGAGCCATCATGCGGAACTTGTCCCAACTCAACTACTCCCGAACAAGACGCTGCACAAATGCTTGTCATTGCTTGTCTTTCAGGAAGCACCCGACTTCTATATGATTAGCCCGCGTCGAGTCTGCGCCTTACGGATTTATGCGGGATCCTTATAGAGATTATCACAGTAGCAATCGCAAGCGGGCGCGGTAGCAGGTTGGATTTAGCATCAGACAGTCGTGCCACTGGTGTACCTCTGTTTTCTGGTGTCGCACAGCTCCTTCGAGCCTGGGGCGCGTGCGCTCCTGGCACACCACGCAAGGCCATGTTCCCTTGGTCGGACACCCCGCGGCGAACGTTACGGAGCGTGGGAACGACTCCAGCAGCTTGGCAGCGTTGCGGGAGACAACGGTTTCTCCTTTGGTGCTCAAAGGCTAAAATACATAAAACCAGTAAATGCTAAGACCCCAATCCACTGGCAGGGAGTTCAGGGCTCGAGGTTCCTGCTCTCCCTGAGGCCAGCCGACTACAAAAGAAGGAGGTCGGCTCACCTGCGCAAAGCATATCCCGAAGGGACGAGGGGAGGTTCGGAATTTGGGCTTCACTGGTGAGGATAGTTTTTGTCGATCTGATCTCAGTCGCGATTGTCTACCAGGACATGAACTTGGTCGGAGAATCGGGATGGCAAAGCGGGATTGTCTTGAACTCCAAAAAGTTTGGAATCAGTCTTCGTTATCGCAGGAACGTAAGGTTCAAATCTATACAGCTCTTACTGTAGGGAAGCTGATGTATTCCCTCAGCTGCTTGTGTGTATCTTCTGCAGATCGTCGGCGTCTTGATTGATGGTTTTCAAAGCCGTCGCTTGCGAAGTATTTTTGGCATCCCATCCGCTTTCACTTCGAGCGCGCCCAATACGGAAGTTCTGTGCAGAGCTTTCTATCCGCTGTTACAGACATGCTCTTGAAACGACAACTTCTCCTTTTCGGCAAAGTGCCCGCATACGACCACCCCTTGCACAGCTATGTATTCGTGAATCATTGCAGCCTGCCACAAGCATGTGTGTGAGAAGAGTGGGGAAGCCGCGACCAGAATGGGTCACATTTGTGTTAGGGACAAAGCATGTCAGTTCCTTGAAAGCCACCGTGAGATAGCCAGACTTGTGCAGAATCCTCATGTTTGTAATCGTGCGGTGTGCCAGTGTACCCGTCCTCGCGCCGCCCGGCGTATGACCGACTGACTGACGGAGAGTATTGAGCATAGAAACCCATAAGCAAAAGGCCTTGATACTCCTTGTTATGATGATAACCCCTACATTACCGCCCGCGTTCGTCAGACTGGCACCGTGACCTCCCGCAAAGAGGAGGAGGTGAGCGAGACACTTGGTTGCACTAATATTGAAGCCTAAATACTTGCCTACATAAATTCCTAGGGTTGCTTCGCTTAAAAAATTCTTATCCTACGTCAAATGTTTTTCTTGAAGGGGTCCTTGGGGTTCCTACGATGGGGGGGCATCGATGGTTGTAAGAGTTGCTATAAGGGTTCCACATCCAACGGTGCCGCGACATCCTCAAAGCCCCGAACTGGCAACCCAAGAGACCCAGCCCTAACCCTCCAAATTTTCTGCCCTGAAAGCCCTTGGCCAACTTGCATTGGGGGTGTCGGGCGGAGAGAATAGGGGCAATAAAAAGCATCAAAGCCCGAAGCCCTGAGCCCTTACGTCCTTCCATTGTCGGCCCTTCAAAGGAGCTCCGCTTACTGCCCCATGCCACGATGCAGCTGCTTGGCCACAAGCAAGGGACGAACACGGGGCCGTAGCTGTGGCCTTCAGTCCTGGGGCTTGCTCGTAGTTTCTAATTTGGGAGACTTAGCGGTGTGGGTCTGGTTTAGTTTAGCAAGCTTTTTCAGCCACGGTCGGGATGTGCAGAACCGTCCACAAGGAGCTTCAAAACACAAGTGCCCGAACGACCGACGTAGGACATAGCAAAGACCAATGCAAAACCACTAAAGCCCCAACGCCGTGCTCCAAATCCCAAGAACCCCAAACTCGGCACCTACTGTACCCAGTCCTGCAACCCAGGTGTGCCTTTTCGCCTAGCGATGCTTTGCCCCACCGTCATCATGCTCTGTGCATGTATCGGGGACGACGCCTGAGTCAAGCAGTTAACTCGCTCGCTTGAGGCTGCCAGGCTCCGGCCTTTCACAGATTTATACAATATCACATAATACTCAAAAACAGACTAGACTATACTATATTATAATATAATAGTATAGTATAGTCATAGTATAGTATGGTCAGTATGGTATAGTATAGTATAGTATACTCTCTAAAGCGGTTTCCCCCCGAACCCCTTCCCAGGATGTCTGGATCTTCTGCTCTTCACTCGAAGTCAGGATTCAAAGCTCCAGAGTTCGGACCCATGCGCGCTTAGCTAGGCTTTGCCGTTGGCCTGTGTTTTTCAGAAACCCTGGGACCCTGAATCCTAAGCCCTAATCCCTAAAGATCCCAACATGAGGATTCAATGTTCGGCTGATGTCAGAACGGGTGGAGGGACATTGAGGGATCTCTAAACCTCAGACTTCTCTTAGTCACCCTGATTCCGCAGCTGCGCAGAAGCCGGAGTTTCGGCTGGAGTTGCGTCTGAGAGGAGCCGGGAGGCTGACTCTCCAGGGGCCCAAGGGGCAATAGAAGAGGTTCGAGAGTAAGCTGCTTCTGGGATATCTTCAAAATCCTGCTTTTTAGTTTGTTGGCAGCTGTGATTGGCATTAGGCTTTAGATTGAAGCCCTCGCCCGAAGCAGAGGGATGACAGCTGAAGCTCGCTGTGCTGAGGTCTTTGTTCCCCTGGCGCTCTTTTCGTTGGAGGCACAACAGGCCCGGAATTGCGTGACTTGATCGAGTTTGCGACTGGACCTGCAAAGTAAGTCCAGACGACGAGTGAGCGTCCAACTTCTCTGACCTACGAAAAAGAAGAGCGGACATCAAGTCCCTACTGAGAACATGTTGCGGTTTTCGTGCTTACTCGCTGATCGGTTGCACTGCCTTTTAAAACAAACACATGTTCTGTTCAACCCCTAAACCTCTAAACCCGAAACCCCCAACCCCCAAACCCGCAAAGCCCTGAACTCCTAAACCCCTAAAGCCCTGAAGCACGAGATCCGAGTCGCTGCCCGGCTTGCTGCCAGGCAGTCTTTGCATCCTACACGCACTCCGTTCAGACTCAGAAGGAGCTCATCAGTAGCATCGCCCGGGCCCCCGAGTGTTTGAATACTGGGGGTTTGGGGTGTCAGAGGATGTTAGAGCTTAGGGTTTTGGGTTTAGGGTTTTTGAGTTTAGGGCTTAGGGCTTGGGGCAGTTTGAGCAAGTTGTGGACAAGCCGAGCAGACTTGTCTTGCAGTCCTGCTGGCAATGCTACATACAGTTCCTTCAACAGAGTAGATGGGCCAGAAAGGGATGACTAGGGGTAGTACTAATCATTCCGAGCCCTGTATCGGTAAATCAAAATCATGGCCCCGATGGGGAACCCTTATCTAATTCTTCTCTTAGTACGGCATCACGCCAGCACCCGCTGCCTTGAGCACAAATGGGTTTGATGGTTGGGCTTTTAACAATGGGGACCAAACTGATATGCTAGACTGCTGCTAGAAGCCGATACCAGATGTTAGCAGGTGCAGTTTGGAAGCTCGCCGCCTTAACCGATTGAAGCCATGGGCTGGGCTGCCGATATTGCGGACTATGGTCATGAGCACGGCATCACAGACTTTATGGAAGCATGCCATAAGTACGTGGATCCTGGTCCAGATTGGGATCCCGAAAATCCAGAATGGCAGGCCAGACAACGTCAGGAGCAGGCCAGACAACGTCAGGACCAGGCTGAACGCGATGCTCGAGATCGCAGTCGCAGCAGAGAACGTCGAGGAGCGCAGGCCCGTACTGATAAGATCTCTGCAGTCGTGAGAACTTGCATCGCGAAAGGTCAAACCCGGAAGGACTTGTTTGCTGCTTGTTGTCGCTGAATCCGGCGAAGAAATAGTTCAGAGAATTTACGACCGCCTGGATGACGAGGCTAGGAGGCAGGGTACGACGAGTTCCGAATTGATTATGCAGAAACTGGCAGAAGCTTGAGTATTCTCCAAGAGTCGAAAAAAAGGGTCGGAATACTTACCAATCTTTTTCCCGAGGGCTCCTTGTTATGATTGTAGTCCCTAAACCCTAAACCCTGATTACCAAGGCCCCTTCTTGAGCTAGCGGAGGATCAGGGCCGCAGCTTTTTATTCCGTGTCTGTCTTGAGCGCGGGCATGTGTTGGCTAGCAGCGAAAGACCGCAGTTTGGAGTTCCATGTGGGGGTTCGGAATACTTTACAACTACCATTCCTTAGGGTACTGTAACACAACAGTAGCATAATGTACACCGAAACCCGATTAAAAACATGAAGGCCTTAGATTAGATCTGGGGTTCGTAGTTTCATGGTTGAGGCGTGCAGAGCCTCAAGGTCAAAACCTCAACCGTACACCCTAAACCTTACCCTACCATCGCGAAATATCGCGAATCTATACTTCAGATTTGTCTCAGAGCATGTTGCAAGCGTGGATGTCCGCAAGGTCCATACGGCCTTGCCTGCGATGAAACGTGCCACGATACGCCGCAAAATGCCGCAGCAGTTCTGACTGATTATAGACCATAATAAGGAGTAGTTTATCATCATCTGCTTCGGTTCATAGTGCACCATATTATACGACCAAAAGCAACAATGTACCATATGATTGCAACAAAACATACATGCATTACAGACAATATGTGTTCGGCCAGAGGTGTTGAATGCCACTCAGTGGGTGCTGCTGGAGGCACGGACACTTGGGCAGCTCGTTGCTGTTGTTCCGGGCTGTTGCTCCGTTCAGTAACTCGTTGCATTGTGCCGTCAGGTTCGGGGTTTAGGGTTCACGGGGAGCAGGTTGTTGATTCGGGTTTTGCGATTTGGTGTCCGTGGTATCTTGTCCCCAGGCATCAATTTAGAATTGCAGCGGGGCTGCTTAATTGCACGGAATACTGTCGATCCCTACCTTGGGCGGGTTGGTAGTTTGCAGCAGGCCAAGTCCTGTCTTGGGGTTTTTGTCGACAAACTGGTCTGTTTGTTTCGTCTGGGTCCGTTGTGCCTGAGAAATCCACAGGCTTATGCAGTTTGCTCGGGTTTTCTTGATCGTTTGATTGGTTCGGGCAAAACAACAGACCCTGATCCTTAACCCCTAAAATCCTTAAGCCCTGAGCTGCTGTTTCAATTCAGAACTGCTTCTCGAAATCCAGACAGTCATTTTTACACTCGCCTGCAGCCTGCTAACCTGAAGAAAGTTTGAACCGGGGCTGCCAACGTATGGCAAATGCCAGCGCAAGCCTGACATCCTCTTACCCTAAACCCTAAACCCTATACCCTAAACCCTAAACCCTAAACCCTAAACCCTAAACCCTACCTAGTGTCTGCATCGTTACAGCCAGTGGCCCTAAAGCCCTTGGCAGGCTTCAAAGTCCGTGGAGAAAGCGGTTTTCGTCGGAATCGTTGAGCCGCCGGACTGCCACAGACTGCAGACAAGTACCATAGTTGGAGATGGGAGCGGGAAGGTTTTGGCCTGTTTTGGGCCAGGGACCTCGGCAACTAGATGCTTAGTGGGAGCAGGGATCCGGAGCCGGTGTGTTGAGCATAAACCCCGAAAGCTTGTTCTGCGAGCTGACATTTAAACTAGAACTATCGAGGTAGTTCACAACCTAGTTCTGTGGAACTTGGTAGGCTCTTGGAATTTGTGGCTAGGCCTCTTTGAGTCCACTTCCCATAGGTCCCCGCGACCTACCGCACCGACCTTCTGACAGGACAGAGCCGTCGACACGCTGTCGGGAGCAATCCGGATGGCTCGCATCAGAGGTGGTTGCAACTTTTCTGAGGCCGAGCCGTCTTCATCAGAAGAAGACAGTGACGCTGCAACGGCGTGCCTTTCAGCCGATTTCCTCGAACTTGAGACACCTGAGACGGGCCATAATCTACCATTATACTAATCTAACGAGAGTATCATCAGAAGATCTGTAAAAAAACCTGCAATGTGGAGGCCGAGCAGCGTCATGCCATCGCGCAGCGTGCTTTGGAGGACATAGGTTTTTTGTGCATTAAAGTAAAGGCTCGAAGGTTCTTTCAAAAAAGGTGGGTCGGTGACCTGGTAAGGCAATCCCTCGTTCAACGGGATGTTGCAGAACAGCAAGTGGAGCATTCTTTGAGCTCAGCTTGCATAGGTTTGATCGGGGCTCTTGAGTTCCAACTGTGACGTTCCCTAAACCCTAAACCCTGAACCCATTAGTTCGTGGGAGCACTGCCAGGAACTGAACAATCAGTGGACTTGCCATCAGCTGCTCCCTGGTTGCACGACGGCCTAAAAAAGTTACCCTAAACCCTAAACCCTAAACCCTAGTCAGATTTAGGAGCCCTGGGGCCCAAGGAATAGCATTGGTAACTGTAGTGGCTTCTATGCTACTTGAAGCTGCGTCGTGGAAGTGGGTTTTCCTGGCTTGTAGCAGTGCATCTTCTCCCGGACCGAGCAGCTGTAATCGGGGTTGCTTCCCTTTCGGAGAGCCAGCGGCTCGAAGCCGAAGCCCATTTCCCCCAAAGATCGGATCACTGATCTCGGCTCCGATCTGGTAAGCTCCCCACTTCTGCAATGTCGAAGCAGGCCAATGAAATGAAACGCAACAGGCGCAGGGTTCTGCAGGTGTCGACTCACAAGGGGCTTTCGTCGCCCTACCGCGGGAGGGGGGGGGGGGCTTCGGGAAGTCACGGGTCTTCACTTCTTCAGTCTGACCCCAGACTCCTCTTTGAACAGTTAAGAATCGCACTACTCCTTGGGCGTCAGCAATGTTGGTTGCCTTTACAAGGAGGCTCCATGTCTTTCCCCGTCTCAAATCATCTAAACCCTCGGCCCTCTAGTAGCCCTACGCCCTCAACTCCTACATTGTCCTGCACCCCTCAACCCTTAAAGTCCCAAACCCACATAGAACCATAATAGAACCCTGACAGAACCCTTGAAGAACCCCAACCCTAAACCCTAAAGCCTAAACCCTAAACCCTAAGGAACAACAACCTTTGTTCGGGCCGGTCATTGAGCCTTTACGCTGCCATGGCGCGACACCCAGTCTCCCAGACGGTCGCTGTGGGTCTTCCGGGTCTTGTCGTGGTGGTTGGATGTGTCTTACAATGACAGGGCTTGATCGGGTCTTACAAACTGGGCTCGAAATCGGGTTTGGGGCTGAAGGGGTGGGGTGAAGGAGTTGGGACATTCAGGGGCAAGGCTGGGAAGGATGAGCTACAACAGAGCCCCCCCCCCCCAAAGAGAAGCTAGGGCCGCTAAGGTTTAGGGTTCAAAAATACGGGCCTGCAAAATTACTGATAAGTATACGTCAGTTTTCCCACAATACCCCTTTTGCGAGTATTAGGGTGAAAGACGGAAGTGCGAGGACACCGGCGAAGTCTCGGGTGCAGCCTTCCGCCCTCGCTTCTGGGGGACGTCGCTAGCGCAGGCCTAGAGCTGGCTGCGCTGTACTTGGGAGGTTTTAATGGGTAGTTAAAAGTGGGGTTTTAAGGGGGGTTCCTTTAGGGTTCCTTTAAGGGGTTCTATAGGGTTTAGGGTTTAGGGTCTCGGGGTAGTTATAAGTGGGGTTAGAAGTAAGGTAACTATAGTTATAACCCATATCAGGGGGCTTATAACCCCACTTTTAACTACCCACGAACCTCCAAGTAGATCTGCTTGTTCCACGGTCTGGAGTAGTTTTGGTAGATTCGGGGCAACTGTTCAGGGATCCTTGCAATTAGGATAGTGCTACTTAGCGTCTATATTTGGGAGTTTCCGAAAATAGGGGACCCTAATATGGTACCCTAAATAGTAGGACCCTTATTATAAGGACCCCCAACCCTAAACCCTAAACCCTAAACCCCCCCTATTTTCGGAAACTCCCATATCTGGCGCGGCCCAGAGTCGCCAAGAAGTTGCTCATTGCCAGTCTTCAGTCGACTGGCTGCAGTGTGCTGTCTTGCTGCAGCCCACCATGGGAGTTTCCGAACATTTTGGGGGGGTACCTTATTCTGGGGTCCTTATAGTAGGGATCCTATGATTTAGGGTACTATATTAGGGTCCCCTATTCTCGGAAACCCCCACATCGTAAGTTCGTGAATGCCATGGAAGAGAAGGACACCCAAGAAGCCGTCATCTCACCTGAGTAGTGTTGGATCCCGATGCAATGCACCGGAAACGATCAACTGTTGCAGATACAAAGGCCTGCGTGATTTTCCGGGTCCGCCTGTAGATCGAGAAACACACACGAAACTCTGGCCTCGCACCAGGAAGCGCCGTTCCTTGCAGATGCGCCAGCCGGTAGTCCCACCAACCTCTCCGTTTTCGAGGCGTGGCTTCAGGGTATGGCGTGGGCTGACATGCCATGGAGCCAAGATTTTGCTGCAAGGCCCTATATAGGGCTTTGCCCAGCGGATTAGCAACAGCTGCATGGGTTGAGATGCAGGTCTGTCGAACTTATGCTGTTGACCTTCCGAACCTTCTCTGATGTGCAGGCCAACGATCTGATTGGAGATCGCGGCGCAGTGTATTTAAGCAGGTGCGGCCCCCAGGTTTGTCAGCCCCGCCGCCGACCATAAACCCCAAACCCAGCCCTACACTAGATGAGGTCCGATCCAAGTTCGGCTTCCCAGGACCGCCTTGGCTCCTCAGCCCTAAACTTTCCTTAAACCCCTGCATTCAGAACTGCAAGGAACGATGCAATAGCTGAGGCTTAGCCTCCTGTCCTGAGCCTCAACCCCCGTAACCCTAAAGCCAACTACTTGAACCTATAACCTCAACTCCTACGCCAGATTTTATGGTTAAACAAATCCCAACTCCGAAACCCCTAATTTCAAACTTAACGCTTGAAGCCTTAAACCTCAATCCCTAACCTGGAAATTTCTGAAGCCCAACCCTAACCTGGAAATTTCTGAAGCCCAACCCCTAAGCCCTACCTCTTCAACTCTGTACCGACCTGGGAACCCAAAGCACTAAAACTGAATTAGGGTTTAGGGTTCAGGGTTTAGGGTTCAGGGTTTAGGGTTTAGGGTTTAGGGTTTAGGGTTCAGGGTCTCCAAAACCCTAAGCCCTAAACTCCCCAAAAACCCGTAGTCCTCCGGACCAGAAATTCAGACCCCAAGTGACTATGAGGCCGTACCTGTCGGCAGTGGAGCCCTTCTACGAAGTCCAGGTGGGGGTTTCGGATACTTCGGGGTTCCTTGGGATTTGCAAAGAGTTTAGGGTTTAGGGTTTAGGGGTTTGGCTTCGGAGGGTTTCCATCTGCTTTTTAGGGCTTTCTAGGGTTGCATAGGGGCTTTCTAAGGGCTACAAGTACAAGGGCACTGTACCCAAAACGCATGAACCCCAAGCCTCAACATGAAGCTCCGAAGCCCCAACTCCAAGTGAAATTGGCTATTATGTCCAAGCTTTCTCATCTCGTGGCTTCAGGCAAAGCTGGCAAACGAATCTCTTCGGTCGGATGCGCCGATCAACAGCTGCTCGGCTGGCCTTAGGCGACCGAGAGAGCCCCATACCCCGCAAGGAAGGAGTAGACCTCAAGCTATAGGGGCCTGGGTCTTATGGTTTAAGCTTGATTCAGGGGTATTGGGCGACACTGGGGAGACTCTTGGGTGTGCGCGAGACTTTGTGTTCTGAAGAGAAAGGGTGCATATGGGCAATGACTCCTTGCGGATATGTGTTAGGCCTCGTCGCAGAGCACGCAGTTCCCGGATTCACGCAGGTTCAACTGTAAGCTTAGCAGCAGAGTGGTGACCATTCCATGCTTTGGCACGAGGCTTCCCACTTGGCGTGCAGGCACCTGGATGGTTCTTGGGGGCTAGGAAAGGGCCTGCAAGTTAAGTTGGCGGAACAGGAGTACGCAGCAGTTGCAGCTCTTGTTGTGGTACTGGCGAGAGCGTGTGTAGATCTAGATATCTGATATATATATATATATATATGTATGTATGTATGTATGTATGTATATATATATATATAGCAGGGATGGCGATCGTCAGTTGTCGACTTCGAGTCCAGAAGCCTCATCAGCCGAAGTTCCACCTCCTGGAATCTCCCCCGACTCTCTCTCTCTCTCTCTCTAAATAAATAAATAAATATATATATATATATATACACACAGATATAGACATAGATGTTACGTACGCATACTCTCTCTCTCTGTCTCTCTCGCTCTCCGTATTCGTATATATGCGTATATACACACTTTGTATACATGCGCTCTCTCTCCCTCTCTCTTTGTCTCTCTCTCACTCACGCACTCACTTTCTCTCTCTCTCTCTCACTCTCTCTTGCTATTTAAACACAAATACACAGAGACACAAAAACATATGTACATAGATAGATAGATAAACAGATAGAGCGATAGATAGATAGATACATATATATATATATATGTAAATGTTCAATTGATGTATTTGTAGAGAGAGAGAGAGAGAGAGAGAGAGAGGGGGAGGATGTGTTTGTGTGTGTGTGTGTGTGTGTAAGGAAGCTTGTTGAACTGGCCTCAGCCACTGACTCAAGGGCTCCGGGTTGCGGGGGGTTGCGCAGCCCATGGCGCCTGGCAACATTTTCAACCAGATCCAGAGGCGAAAGTGTGGGCAACCAGGCGGGTACTGCATGCTACTATGGGGATCGTATGCCTTCGAGTTCCTTACTATCAGCATAGCATAATGGTCTTAAAAGCCCGTTTGTAATTTTAAACGCTTCGCGTCGTCCGCCTCGGCCCGGCTGTACTTGAAGCATGTGCATTGTTTCGGCAAGCAGCCTGGCAACCTACACAGTGAGGTTTTGATTTGATGCTGAGGCTCTGAGCAAGAATCCCACACGAAAAGTGGCGCATTCCTGCAGTACCCATAGACGCTACTATAAAAATCTTATCACACTTCTCGCGGGTCTCGTATACAACCTCCCATATGTTGGCCCGGGGAATCAGGCTTTGCAACGAAGTACAAGACACAGCCCCAGCATTCCCAGGCTTTGGCATCAGCTTCACGAGTGATGTAAGCTAGCCTGTCGGAGGGGGGCGGGTGCGGGGGGGGGTTGGGAAGGCTGTTCGCACAGGAAAAAATGCAATCTTTTTTGGACTTTTCAGGAATACCCCGTTGCAAAAATGGAGGCTCCTTTCCTGAGGCTCCTATATCACCTCTGCTTCAGCGTCTCAGACTTGCAGGTTTCATGGCTGCGCTTCTTCAGGTGTTTGGAATTCGTATTTATGATTCTTATTATTCCAGTTGTGCCTGGAGTTCGACACTTTACTTGCATATCTGGGGGTTTCCGAAAATAGGGGACCCTATAGTACCCTAATTAATAGGATCCCTACTATAAGGAGCCACCCCAATTTTCTGAAACTCCCATCTACCGGCAAGGGGTTGTTAGAGCAACATGGGGTTGACCTCCGTCCCACACCTTCCACGCCTCGAAGCTGCTCAGCCCGTGGCACGCTGGATCCGGCTGTGCTCTGCCGCCGACTACTACGGCCTCTGAGTGGCAAATGGCAAAAATGAAAGCAGGGATCGCTTGAGGCTGACCTTTTGGATTGTAAACTCCTCATTCATAGACCACTCGGACCACTCGGCCAGTAAGTATGGTGGGGATCTCAAGAAAAAGCTCTTTCCTTGAATCAGGGGCATGCATGATTCTTGTAGCACCACGCAGGACAACTTGGAAAATAATCTAGGGTTCAGTCTCAGCTGACAGCTAGGATAGGTCTGAAAGGACTTTAAGCAGTACTTTGGGTGCATGACCGCACTCTACGATTTCATGCAGCGGTGTCACCTGTGCCCGACGGACAGACCCGTGCGCTTCATGTCGAATATTGTCGTAGGATACCATAAAGTCTCTTTAAGGCTACTGCAAGGGGCTTCTTCCTATCGTCAAAGCTTGCATAATTCGTTGGTGCCCATTAGATCTAAGCCCTTACACTTACACTCTGCCCCGAAGTTTCCAAGATGCTACAGGCGTTGGTGTTATCCACGGGCCTTCCATGGTGCCGTCCGTGAGGCTTCGAGACTGCTATGGGGGCCTTGCACAGGGATCCTTTGATTCGCAACAACCCTGCAACGGTGGTCAGTGTTGGGCGTCAAGGTCGGAGCTAAATGGCGAGAACTCTTTTTCAGGCTCCACAGACGGAGGGACTGCTGCAAGCCCTGCTGTGCAGAGGTGCGCGGAGTGATTTCACTCAGCCTCGACGTGTTTTGCATCAAGTGGGATCGCGATGCAGAGGCTCGAGCCCAAAGTATTCTGCAAATTGTGACTGCGTGTGCGTATGCGATATTGAGATGTGCTTTGCAATTTGTCCTTGCGATCTGTCCTCGCTTCCCTTCCCTCTTACTGTTTCCAGCATGTTGCATTCGATTTGAGAACCCCGGAAAGATGAGCGGCGAGTCTTCGGCTATACGCGGCTCTAGACTCTAGACTGAGGATGTTCTTTCACAAGCCATGCCGACTAGAGTTCCCAGATTCAGCAATTCAGTGGCAGTGGGGCTTCTTGATGGTCGGCGCGACAGTTCAGGAGTTTTACCGTCTTCCCCAGGTCTTTCGGGCACCCTGTGGTGGCTCTCGGGGACTCCAGCGGCTCCTGTCGCTGCGGAGGCCACGCGAGCAGGTGGACAAGGCGCTGTGATGACGAGGTTTGCATTATTTTGCATTGCTTTGAAGGAGGTTAGTACATTTGCTCCGATGCTACGAAATCGAAGCAATCTTTGACCTGCATCTGGTCGCCAAAGTTGCTTCCTGACTTGGTGCTCGCATAGCATTCAGCCATTGTGGGATGATGTTCTCAGCACTCAAGACAGTGAATCTGGTCTAGCCGTAGACTGCCTGATGATAGATATCGCTCCGACAGGCCCGCAGGCAAATGGATAAAGGAGAGGCGTGCCTCCAGTCTCCAGTCTAGTTTTTTCAGTGTATCTGTGAGTGCTAACAAAATACATCAGGCGCTGTTTCTGTTCAGGTCTTTCGCTTGGCCGCAAATCGGTCTGTGCTTGTCGCATATACCACCGACGAGCGCCCCGTGCCGTGGCCGCAGGCTCTCGTGCCTGGACAAGGGGCGGGCCCAGCCTGGCACCCTAAATCTTATGCCTATGTCGATGTTCATGCCTATATCCATATCTGTATCCATATACGTGTTTGTATCCGTTTATATCTCTGTATATGCGTTTGCGTCTGTATCTATGTCTATATCTATAGCTATATCTCTATATTTGTGTCTGTAGTGATATCCATATCGATATCCGTATCTATACCTATATCTGTATCTGTATCTACAACCCTATCACTCCCTATCTTTATCTATATCTATAATATCTAAATCTCTACCTCTTTCCTTATCTGAATCTATATCTTTGTCTGTGTCTGTGTGTTTGTTTGCATTCGTGTCTGGACCTGCACGTCACACACACACACACCTATATACAAACATCTGAACCTGAGTTGAATTTTGCCACAGCGTCTACTGGCATCATCAACATGGCGCATTGATGGAGAGTTTAAGATTCGGGCTGCTTAGAGCAGCAGGGTCGGGGACTTGGTTAGCAGGTTCTAGGTAAAGTTCTAAGTAGGATAACCAGGATAACCCGATTAGGCTGATTGGTGCTATCTCTAGGTGGAACCTACAACCCTAAACCCTAAACCCTAAACCCTAAACCCTACCTACTCCTCAAATCCCAAGGCTTCTCTTCGGCTGCGGGTCTTATCCCTGCCATCGCTGCTGATGGGGGACGTGGTGGAGAGCAACGGCGGAGCTGCGCGTCTCAATGTAGCGTCACATCAAAGACCCTTCCACTGGCAGAATGAAGGACAGAATGTAGGGGCTATACTAACTAGAATAGGGTTTTGGGGGTTCCTTATTATATTCATAGTATAATATACCCCAAACCCCCTATTCTAATTATTAACCCCCCTATGTTAGCAAGGAAGGTTCAGGATTGCTCGATTGCCGGGCTTGGAGAGCTCTTCACTGGGCTCATGAATTTGTACCTCCTGACTTCAAGTCGCTTTGGTGCCAAATTACTATACAGAATGACCCTAAACCCTCAACCCTGAACCCCAAACCCTAAACCCTAAATCCTAAACCCTAAATCTTGACGTAAACATGCAGTAATTCAGCGCCTTGGGACTGCGCAGTTCGGGCCTTTGAGCTTCTGTCCTTCGCGACTGTTGAGCGCGCCTCTCAGTCACGGCAGTTCCATCTTTTCGGCATATATCCTTTGATCTTAATGGAAGGCTTCAAGTGAATTTCTGGCACCCCTGAAGCTGGCTAATCTACAAGCCTGAATAGTTACCAATATTATTGTTGGGGTTCCTGATAAATCTTATACTATAAAGGAGCCCAGAACCTTCTTCTAGTCATTAAGGGCACTCTTTTCAAGATTCTTCAAGACGGCTCTGTTCAGGCTCTCGCGGCGGAGGTGGTTCCCCTCCGGCCTCTTCGACTGCACCCAGCGGTATAGGGGCCCTAATAATTACCAATACTTTATTGGGGGCTCCTTCTTTTATAGTATGATACCAAAACCTAACTGTTCGAATTACAAGGCATACAACCGGCATAGCCCTTCAGCGGGCCGTGCGCCTGTCTTCAGACATGCTTTGTTTGAACCTACTCTTCGTCCCATGGAGGTGTCCTTGGGCACCTAAGTGCGACACTTAACGCCTGCTAGTACTGCTAGTATGAGTTCCAAGTCTCAGCTCTTAAGCCCCTCATCCGCCCTCAAGACGCTGCGCCGCATAGGAGTGGCTATATTGATCTGGACGAGCCGAACCACTGTGTGCCACAAGCTGCACCTGCAAATGGGCCTTCGTCTTAGTGAAGTTGTTGTGCAGTCTTCGCGATTTCGCGTGTCTGGAGCAGGTTGCAAGGATTCCAACTGGTAGGTAAGATTACGTGCGTTCTGCCCCTTCGGCGTTCGTCCAGTGTCTCCAATGCCTACCGCAAACCTGCCTGACACGTGTCCGACCCGACCAGCCATGAACATGAAAAGCACCGGACGGGTGAGTGACATCGCTACGGTTGCTTTACAATGCTTTACATGTTGGAGTCGGTACTACCAGGACCCGAAGTTCATCTTCCCTTCAATAGGGCTGAAATCAACGCCCATGGAAGATTGCGTGCAACGACGAAAGGTGTGGACCGTGGGGCCAGAGACGATCAAATGCTTCGAGATTGACACGCTTGAAGAACGCTTCCGGCTGCTTCAGCGAGACCAGGCAGTGGGATTCCGTGGTTCAGGCTTCCGTTCTGAGAAGTGAAGGGAGACCCATCCAACGATGTGCTTGGGCCATTCTATCGTTCCCTCGCGTCAAGTATTCCTACATGGAGAAGACTGTCCACTGCGGTTTTCCTGTACTTGGCTTGAGAGGTTGTAGGCCTATTCGCCTTGGGGGACAGCCAGCTTTGTGCAGGTTTCTGGAAAGATCGAACCGTTGTTTGCTCCGCCAGCTTATTTATTTACATATGTTACCTTCATTCAGTTGTGTTCGATCTTGCTTTAACATCCCAACAAAACCCCTGTAAATCAAGGGGGGCGCAAGTACCCGGGACCTAACTCGTCCCTCATGCCCCGCAGAAGAGGAGAGGAGAGGCTGTAAGTACAGGCACCGCTGCTCCGACACACGCTTGGTCTGTTCGCGCTGGTTTGGGCATCGTCAGAGCATATGGCAATGGCTGCTTGGAGATGTTTTGGGACTGCTTTGGCTGAGCCATGTGGTGTGTTATGTGAGCTGTCACAGAGCTTGGAAAGGTTGTCTACTCCGCCGGCGGAATGAAGCATTTCGATTCAGAGGCCAGGGGACTCCGAGCTTCGGACTTGTCTTCCTCCATGAGGTGCTTCTATGCCATTCTATGCCTTATCCTGAGGATCCCGGGCTGTCTTGCCGTCTTGCCCGGACTTTCTGCTCTTCATCACTCCGCGTGGTAACCCGTCATGTGCACACACTTGCACTCCAGAGAGTTGAAAGTTTCAATGCCTGGGGTGCTGTGGGGCACTGGATTTGCATGGGAAATAGACAGATCTAAAATGTGCGACTCCAACAATCCAAGTTCCCAGTCAGATCTGCCTTGTCCGCACTGGCGGCTATGCTGGGCTCATCGAGATGAACGGTGTGTTGCAAGTTTTGTTTTTTTATGAGGCAAGCTTTCGGCATGCTCGGAGTGGAGGTGCGGATGCAGAACCTCGTCACTGTGGTGGAGATCCTTACCATGGATGTTTTCCTTTGCCAATCGCAGGGGGAGGACGCGCGCCTCCGCATAGTTGGCGCGTTCGTGTTTCGAGGGGTTTGTGAGATAGGGCTTCGCTTGCTGATGGCTGAAATGCACTCCTCCCCCGAAACAAATTCCCCAACTTGTTAACCAAAGCCAGAGATCTGTTATGATCGCCAGCGGCATGATTGCAAGTACTACAGAGCCAGGCAGTAGCACTGATGAAGTTTAGGGGTCAAGAGGCATAGCATCATGCAGTCTATGTTGCAAGCACCTCGGCAAATCACCGATTGTAAGACTACGCATGCTTGGAGTGGTCTTGTCATTGGTGTCACCTGTGTTCTGGAAGCCGGGAGCTTGTGCTGAGCCAACCCACGGGTTCCCAACATTTCACTCCAGACCTGGTGGTTGTCAAACTTAGGGTCCCTTTTTGGGTCCTCATTAGAATACGGCACCTATTATTTAGGGTACCCCAAAAGGGACCCTAATTTTGACAACTACCCACCTAGGCAACTCCTGGACGTTTCCAAAGGCCAGCAGCTGTGCACTCTGCCACACACCGAGCATTGGCAGCTTCCCAACATCGCGGTTCTGACTCATCTTGGAGTCATCTTGGAGACTCCACGGCAAGCATGTATAGTCCTAGTCTATAGAGCACAAGCCCTAAACCCTAAAGTCTAAAGCTTAAGCAACCCATGGGCTTAGAGAGCTGCTTTCATCCCTTAAGTCCCTGAGCTGCAGAGCGTTTAGCTTACGAAGGCGTGTCTGTAAGAGGTGAAAGAGCTGTGAAAAGATAGAGATGGGGCTCTGGGGGTCTATGAGGGTAGACGCATAATAAGGAGCCCTCCGGAATAATGTTGGCAATTCACTCCAAACTGTGAATCAGAGTGTGTGGCAGTTGGATCCGGAATCGAAAGCTAGCAACTCCAGACTCGGCGCGCTAAAGCCTAAAGCTTTTTTGCCCTAAATCCAAAACCCCATATTTCGAAGCCCTGAACCCCACAGCCCCAAAGCCTCTAAAGCCTAAGCCCCAAAGGCTCTAAAGCCTAGCCTTCGACCTGCAGTCTCGGAATGCCTCCGTAAAGAGTTCCCAAGAGTTCTTGCGAAATCCTGCGAAGCTCTGCAGCCGAAGGCGGGTTTGGGATCGTGTCGATGTAAACGAAGTGGCAATAGTATATCTGAGATCCCCCTGAAGCCTTCTGTAAAATATTAATAGTACAGTATGACCGTAATCAAGCTACTAAGAGCCCGAGAGCATGTCTGGGGCTGAGGTGACCCTGCCTGGAACACTGCAGATATGGCGGTGCCTGCATTGGAATGTAGCCAGGGAGCTTCGGGCTTTCGAGGACCTTGACATGCGACGCCTCAGGTTGAAAATAGATTTTGCGAGGTCAGTCATCATCCCTAAACCCTTAAACTCTTAAGCCCCTAAACCCTTAAACCCCTAAACCCTAAACCCTTAAACTCTTAAGCCCTTCGACCCTTAAGCCCTTAAGCCCCTAAACCCAGTTCTACCAACAGCCCTTTCGGCCACCCTAGACCAGGTATGCGACCTGGGACTTGGGTGCATCGTGCTGGCCCGTAAAGGACATCGATTTCCAGGCGCTGGTTTGGGGACAAAGGAAGGTTGAGGGTTTCGGGGCAGGGGTCTGCGGTTAGGAACGGTCATGCTGCAGGGTTTCGGTGGGATGTTAGGATTGCGTGATATACATATTCTTTGTGGGTGAGGTTTGATGTGAGGGTCGGGAACATTAGTCTGGTCAAGAGTTCCTCACCAGAAGTATTGCCTTATGCCGGCTTTCTAGCTGCCGACATATGTATGTACGTAAATGTGTATGATACATATATATATATATATATACACATATATATATATATATCTATATATGTATATATATATATATATCGTTTTGTACCCTAGTATCTATCCATCATTATGTCATTTGACTGTTTGCCGTCCGTCTCCGTCTCTCCGTCTCTTTCCTCACCCTCACACTCACCCGCACCAGCACCCCCCACCCACCCCACCCCCACCCTCACGCTCACCCTCACGTATGTATGTACACATGTACGTATGTAAGTATACAGACACACATGTACATATATATATATATATATATGTGTATATATATATATATACATACAGGCAAAAGGTGAGGCAAACATGCATGCATCTGCGTGTATGCGTGCCTGCACGCATACATGCATACATACATACATACATACATACATACATACATACCTTTGTACATACATACATTACATACATACATACATACATACATACATACATACATACATACATACATACATACATACATACTTACACACAGAGACACACACACATGATTTGCGTGTGTGTATGTAATGCGTGTTTGCATAAATACGTACATGCATGTAAGCCTGTACAAGTACTTGTCGGCCGTCTGCTGAAGCAACATGCTTTTCTGCGTATTGCTCCGACTCTAATTCGTCCGTTTTTTCCAGCCTGAGGTTCAACATCCCCTCCTTTGCTAAACCCGTGGCCTCCTTCGTGCAGGGATCCTTCAGTCAGCGGACTCTGGTCGACCGTGCCCGAGCATCCTTGGTTCTGCCGCAAGCGCCCTCTGCTAGTGGCAGAGGGGATGACTTGCAACTCGTCTTGGACAGGAGCTCCAGCAATAGCCACAGACTCTGTGCAGTCTTTTGAGGCCAGCATGTCGAGCATTGGTCGAGCACTGTGGAACCTAATGGGTGGTCAAGGGGTCGTTGTACTCACGTGACTCGCAACACGTCGGATTCCAGGGCATCTCCTTGCCGTTCTTCTCTGTTGGGGTGCAGCAGGTGCTCGTGGCCTCAAGAGTCCCAGCCGCGTGAGATGACTTCTTCAGGTGACGGCCAACAACGGTAGATTCTACAAGCGTCGACGAAATCGAGTTTCCAGAACCAAAGCATCCCGACATATCCAGGCAAAACAATTTGATAGTCGAACGCGCAGGTCGAAGATAAACCTTCGAGTGCAGGGTAGCTTTGTCTCATGTCATTAGGCCTCTGGTCGGAGCATCAGGTTTCTGATCGACTTGCGCTGTTGCAAGCGTCCTGAGCGTTTCCAGCGTGGTGTCTGCTTCGATGGAGGAGGCTTGGCGTTCATACAAGGCCGGGTGCACGCTGACCATCCCCCCCCCGCTGACAAGGGTGATAGCAGGTTTCTAGTCTAGAGGCCCCCAACCTGAGCCCGCAGATGGAAGTCTCGACATGTTACGGAAGTCAAGGGGTTCATACAGCAAACGAGGGTGTCTTAGGCTACAGTCTGCGGTCTTCAGCCGAATTTCACCTGCAAGGACACGATGGCTCCCAGGAGAGCCCAATACCCGTTACTGAAAGAAAGCCCTAATCATAAGCCTTAATTAACTCATAATATTCAGGCCCGAGAAATTAAGGCATAGTCCGCAAGAAGGGGCGGGGCACCTGGAACCTTAACCCTACACAATAGCCAAGGCCCGAAACCATATTGGGCTCTCTGGGTTCCGAAGTGAAGAACCCAAAACCCCCAGCAAGCTCGCCACTCCTGAGCCAGGCGATCTCTCCGAAGGTTGGCTGTTGGTCTGTGGCCGTCAGGGAGGTGTGACTTGCTACCAGGGTTAGGGGAACACAGTTCCGGAAGAATTACCAATACTCCATTCCTTAGGGTTCCTTAACATCACTACCTATACTAAAGTATACCTCAAAACCCTTCTGTAATTATTGAGGCCCCTTCAGTGTAAAAGGGGGGAAGGGGAGCCGGATGAGCCGGGAACATGTATCCCTAAACCCTAAACCCTAAACCCTAAACCCTAAGCTCTTGCTCATGGGGTCGGTATCCGACCCGCCAACGGCTTTGAATTCGCGAGGCCATGCTCAGAGCACGTTACATTACCCCTTTATAGTCAGTATCTCTTATAGTGGCCTTGCTTTTTCGTAGAGTGGCCTTACTTTTTCCATAGATCTTATGGTAATCTTATTTATGCGTAGCTCTCATAGTAACCTTCTTTTTTCGTAGCGCTTATAGTAACCCGTATCTAAAACTTCAGACATGATGCGTGGGCTTCGAGCTTCCTTTTTTGGGATATCCGGGGCTCCAGGCTAAGTCAGTTGATAAAACCGTATGCGACCGCAAAAAGCCTTCACTGAAGCCCTCATCAAGCTCTTCCATCAAGTGTTTGGGAGCATATTAGAGTATGGTTATATAATCAGGGACTATAAGGGGTCTGTATTCCACGCCCCTGTATGAATGCCCTTCGATTGGGCCTGATTTCTCAAGAAGGAGGAGCCGTTGAATCGGGAAGGGCTACGGCCCGTACAAGCGGTGCCCAATTCAGTCGATGCTATCTTTACAAGGAGCCTACTTCTCAGCCTGTGCATCACAGCTGGAATCCTAAGAGCTAAAATCTTAAGCATCTTCCGGGCTCTCTTGGAAGCTCAGCTGAGAATTCGAAGTCCGGGATGTCAGACACCCGGCAGTTTCGGGGCGCGGTGTAACGTACTTCCCGGTAGCTTTGCGTTTTGGTGGGGACCAAGGGTCCCGGGGTCTTGGAGTTGTAACGTTGGCAAAGTTGAAAGTGTTGCATCGAAAGGCTGACAATCATCTGCTCCTGGCCTTGCTTGCTATAGGACATAAGCAGAAAACTCCACAGGTGCACCGTTTTGCCTATCCCCTAAACCCTGCACTGTGACATGTTCCTCTGCTCGGTGTCATGACACAGTGCCTCGCCCACGGCACATTGCCGCGCCCGGCAATGCACAGGGTTTTCTCATTGACGCTAGCTCCAATTCGCCGGTGGGGTACGGTGGGATTTGACTAATTGGGACTTGGGAAGCTGGGATACCTGGTGATTATGGCTGGGTTCTATGTTGCATCGCTGACATGCACTTGAAGCCTTTCAGATGTAGTTGAAAGATGACAATAACCCGATTTCAGCATGAGTCGAGGGCAGTGGAAATATGGCATTTGGATTGCTCTCACATCTGAGTCATGAGCTGCTAGGCACCGGTCAGCAAGTATGACGTGAGCATCAGGAGCTTATCTGGAGCTGGCTTCAAGCCAGGCACTTGCAGGGCCGATCGTTGACGTGCTTGAGGCCTGATTATGCCCGCCGGCGTCGCCGTCGGGATCATGTGGGACAAAAAAGAGCAACAAATTGCTGCATGCTGACTCGAACTCTGTGCCGGGAAGTGGGGCATATTTCATCCTGCGGTAGTGATATTTACAAGCCTAGTCTTCATAAAACTGAGTGACAACATCCGTGTACGAGAGGCATGCAAATCCACTCCGGCTACTACGAGGGCCCATGTGCGAGAGAAGCAAGTCAACCTGCCCCCTCCGCTCCAGACAACACGCCGTTGTAGTCACAAGCAAGACTAACTTATATCCCAATACCGCTGCTCAACTTTTTGTTTAGCGTTTTGGCATGCTCGGCATCGCCGGTGCAGCTCTTCAGCTCCGGTGTTGAGCGCTGCAATCTCTTGCAAGCCCCAAGCCTGTGTTCAGGGCCTGCTCAAGAAGACCTGGTCGCGCGTCTTTCTGCAGCCTGGACGGCAAGAAAAACCGTCTCTAACTAACTAGCCATTGCCTCGCATATCCTTCAGAACTGTGCAGAATGCAGCGCCATCAGCCCTGTTGCTTGGTTGACGAGGCATATGTCTCATCGCAGCTAAACTAGGCCGGTTGCATCTGCTTTGTTCTAAAGTATCTTGGGCGTGAGAGCATGGAGAGTCAAAGCACTTCAAGGGCTGATACTTTCGAGATTCTGAGTGCGGATCTTGGGGTGTCGCACTTGAATTTGCAGCGATCAGGTCCTTTCGTCAATGACCCGGGGCTGCCTTGACTCAAACTTTCCGAGAGATGGCCCTTCAAAAAGAGGTAATCTGCCTAAAACCCGAAGGCCTAAAGGTAAAGGAACACCAGAGGTGGACCAGATTAGCTGAACAGCTCGGCCCGGCATCTCCAAGCTGATACTTCCAGGTTTCATCCCTGGTGGAGTGAGGCCGTTGCTCGCTGATTCGGGATGGGAATGTTTCTGCAAGGGCACAGTGATACTATTACTTTGCCTGAATAAGTAGCAATAGTAGCAAGACTAGTCTGTAGGGTTCCAGATTATAGTATACGTACTTATTCTACCACCATCTGTTGCTCGTGGGGGCACGGCCACTGTGCCTCCTCGCCCTAGACCGAAGCTCTGAGCCCTAAGCTCTAAGCCCTAAACCCAACAGATATCTCCAGCGTGGTCTCTGTGTGGCTGTGACTTGTCCCGTGAGGCTCTGGTAAGTCGGAAACTCTACAAACCTTCGCCTGGCTAAAGCGCCAACGTTGATCTGACCCCGAACCCTCGACCGCCCAACATCCTATTCCCGAAGCATTCCGAAACCGTAAGCCGCTCAGCTCAAAGTTCCCCAGACGCCCCAAAGGCCCCAGACCCACACGACCAAAACTTCAAACCCCACACAGAAACACCAAACCCGAAGCTCCGGGGCAAAAGACCGCGGCACCAACATGCAGGAGTCTTCCAGTGGGCATCTCGCTCTCTCCTGGACTGCTGTTTCATGTATGTGCAGCAAAGGGACGAGCAGGCTTACCTCTACTCGCAGTGCTTTTATGAAGGGTACTTCAAGGGTCCCGTAATGGGTAAAGAAGCCAAATGCGAATTCCTTGCAGGACTGCGCCGCTCGCACAGTGTGGCAACTACTCTTGCATGGATGGCGTGGTTGCCCCGCCCTTGGCTGGCATGATTGGAAAGCACTATAAAGGCATGTCGGCACGGTCGGCGACTTGCTCCTGGGCTCTCTTTAGGCTACAATGGACTTGGCTTTGATTTGTATCTGCAGTTTACGAAATGCTACAGCCCAAAGGGGATATTCAAGAACATCATTTGGGTTATGGTCCCACAGGGGGGCCGTAGCATGAGTGGTGGGATTCGGGACTGGGTCATACGATGCGGCATGGGTTCGTTGTTGAAGAATCTCCCTTGCCCGGCAATGCGCACCCCTTCAAAATTGGGGCCTTAATTCTTAGGTAGAGTAGAGTTTTAGGGAATGTTATTGCGCACGCAATGAAGCCGAAGCATGATATGTGTGATGATGCGAGCTTCTGTATGTTATGCCCCAGCTTCCCGCCTGCTTTTCGCGACGTCTTCGTGGGTTTTTGTTCCGACAGCCTTCACATACCAAGTGAAGGAAGGATACCGTGGACCATCAGACCATTGCGACGGATGTTAGCAAACCAATACTGAACCAATCGTCATCCCCTCACCTGCAAACCCTGCCACTTGATCTCCAAAAGCCTTGCTGACTGCATCTATATCCCCAGGGCGCCGACACCACCTTGGACCTGGTCTCATACGAACTTCGGCTTGCCCCTACCTCAGCACATGCCGAAGCGACCAAGGAGCATTTTGACTTGATGCGTTAGAGGGTTCGAGTCGGACGTCTTCCGTATGAACTGTGCAGAGCTTTTTGGGGTTTGATTTGGCACCTCACAGCGGTACTGAAGTACTGAACCCAAGTTCAGAATGTAGTTGGAGGCATGCAATAAGCGCACACATGCACCATCCTGCTTTTACCGGTGACTGAACAAGATTTTGCAGCTGCAGGATGACATGCGGACAGCGACAACCCACCAGAAACCATAATTCAGTCTACCTGGTATAGAAACTGCAATACAGCATAACTATATACTATATAGCTATACAAGGACTGGAAAGGAAGATTCGTATTCATCTTCGCTTGAGCGGAGGCCTGGTTGCGACTGCAGTGGAATCTTCGCGGCCCGCCTTGGGGATACGAGCTGGCCAGCGAAAGTGCATCTGGCTGGTGTTGAGCTTCAGAGGTTTTTGAGAAGTTCTTGGGGCACCCAGCTCCAACAAAATATTTGAATTATGATTTAGGGGGACCCCCCTAAGGGGGTATGGCAAATGGAGTTTGCTAGCAAGGGTTGTTTTGCTGATGGTTGGTTGTTTGTCCTCTGTTTACTGCAGTGTGGCCTCACCAGCACTCACTAGCACTCA